GATGAACACGGAGTTTGTTTCTAAAGGGGTATATAAATTGTCGTAGATATTCCAAGAAGGAAAATCTCTACACAGACCTGAAGAACCTTGTTTTCATAATACAGAGTATGGTTTTAAGAATTCATCTGGGATTCTACATGGCACCTCAAAAGAAGGATTGTATATTATAAATGAGGACTGTAGTTCAATATCTAGAAAATTTAATTTTACTATGAAATATGTATGAAATCCTATACGATAAATGCCACAGGAATAAAAAACTGTGACACAACAGACTGCCTCTAAGAGACAACGTAGTGTGTGAAAGCAACAGGAAGCTCCAGCCGGATGATCTTTTCTGACAAGACCGTGCAAATCCTCGAAAGAAACATCACTCTGTCCTCCAAGAAAATAGGTTAGATATTTCTGAATCTCTGCACACGTATTTTAAGAAAACAGAAGTCTGGATAGCAGATCAAAAATAATCATTGGTATATATATGTAGCCTTTAACGAAAATGACTCAATGGAGATTGCATTTAAGCACTAATTTCTGTAAAATCTTGTATCTATGTGTTTTTAAACTTGAAGCAGGGCAACATTCATCTCTTAGTGTGGGTCTCCAGGCTCCATCTGATTCCGTTAAAAAGGAATTTGTCCCACACACAAACTCACTATAGAAATAACTTTACATAACACAATACAGGCCAAATCCTATTTATTTGTAGTTATTAGTACAGCTCACGTGAATAAATTGAGCCCACTTAGCCAAAGACCAAAATACCTGAATCCAAAACAGGGCTATGATTTCAGCTTATATTTTACTTTCTGGGTATCAGCTGCATTCAACAACTGAATGTAATGTTTATAACCTTGATTACAAGTGTAAAAGGAGAAAATTTTGATGGATGTGTATACTGACCCAATCCAAAACCATACCAGAGGCAAGATTTTCATTTCAGTTCATTAACATTTAAAAGGTTTTTTATTCTACATTTTTTCATGCTTTAAAGCTGTGTTATCCATACAACTGTAAAGTACCTCAGTAGTTTTGGAAGAGAGCAAAAAATGCAAAGTAATAAATAATTTGTAGCAATTTAATTATCTGTCCACTGCACTAAACTTGAAAACTTGTATTAAAACTCTTTTAAAATATTATAAGCTTCACATAAGTTATGCATATTCATATGAAATCAAAATTAACTTTCAAGTAGTTATTTATCTCTTTTTGTTAAAAAATTAGGCTGTCCTCCTGTATCTGTACTTTTTCCTACAGCATGGAAAGTTAAGCAGGCTGGTAAGGAGGAGATCCCCGAGGAGGATTAATTTCTTGCTGGTTTGGTCATTTTTTGGTTTGGTTATGTAAGGACAGTGTCTGAACATGGTCTTTTCTTCCTTCAGAATTTCAAAGGGAAAGTTACTTAGATCACGAGGGAAGATTAATGAGATAATGACAAGGGTTATATCTGTTGATGCTACTCCTGATATTATAAACCCCATGTTTCCCACTCTCTGTTTTTAAAACGCTTGTATAGCTCCTATGAATGAGCCTTGCACAATAGCTTCTTACCTATAATGCTGTTTCTGCGTAAACAATATCGATTCAGTGGCAAGTGTGGAAATAGCAAAGGCACAGTTGAAATCCTCTATTCCTAGCAGCGCTCTGAAGAGAAAAAGAAGACATTGCTAGGTTTTAATTCTTCTCATTATTCCCTAGAAGGAAAGTTATATTTGTGCTGCCTCTAGGCAAAGTACCATCCCACATGAACAAAAGAATGAAACTAAGATCACATCCATTTCATCTTGCTGCTGCTACTCCTGCACAGAAGCTCTCCACAGATGCTTAAGTCCCTGACACTGTATCTTCAGTGCTCATATGTCACAGTAAATGATTCATTAAAAATGCATAGACAGATTGATCTTAGAAGAGGGAGAAAAGATCTGCAGTTTAAGGCGAAAGGAAAATAGAAATGAAAAGCCAAAAGGTAGAAAAAGGAAACACCCCCAAAATTCACATCAGAAAGGCATGCAAAAAGACACTTAAAAAGAAAGAGGAGACAGCAACTGTATTGACATTTAATATGTCTGCTTGGGATGAAACTCATCATTTTACTAGCAATAAAGGCAACAGCCTAGAGAAAGCCCAAAGCCCTTAAAGCATTTTGCATCAAGTACCTCACAAAAATGGTAGGCAATTTCTGCTAAGATCTGTACAATATTTGCACCAAACTACCTGATTTTTTTTTAAAAAAAAAATGTAATTAAATGAGAGCAAATCCCTAATGCAGACATAGATAGCTCTATTGCTATTGTGCCTATAATGACATAACTGAAACAATATTATGGTGCTGCATCCACGAAACAAAACTGGGGTTTATTGTTTGCATACCAAAAATGAGCATATTTGTACCTCTCCTTGCTTGTTTCTTTTCATATGCTACACTAGGTGGGTCTGCAAAGGATGCAAGGCTTATGTGCAGCACCAGTGGGGTTGAAAACAGGCTGATGCTTCTGGAAAGGCATGAAACTGTGAGCAGGGTGCCTGATCCTGGTTACCACTAGTCATCCTAAGTCATATACCACTTGCCATGTTCCCATGCTGCCTCAAAACTGAGAAGCAAAAGAAGGAAAGACATGGCTTCCTTCGTGATTCTCGTGGTCTCCATAAACATGTGATTGACAAGACTAACCCTATACTATTACTATTTTTCTCATATTTTCTGGATGGCCAGAAGGCTTTGCTCTGCTAAAGGAATCCTGCAAGCAAAAAACCAACCATCCTTAAGCATAATAAGTTACTTGAGTAAGAGACACCTCCTTACTATGACATTCATGCAAATGCTGTTCCGTAGATGTATTCTATTTTTATTAAAAATCATTGGTAAAATACGAACATGGACCATAACTTACATTCTGTCAGTAAAAATAAATAAATAAATAAATAAATAAATAGAGCCAAATGCCTACAATGGGAAGTATATATATATATATATATATATATATATATATATTTTCACACATACACGTACAATAGCAATATTTTTAGCTATAATTTCCTACTCATGTGGCAACATGATGAGCATTTTGAAGAAGCTGAGCCAAGTGAAAATACAACCTGCAGAACAGGTCACGTTTAAATATTCTGCTATTGAAGAATATTAAAAACTACAGATTAAGTAGGAGTGTTGTAATACATTAATTAATGCTTGTAAATCATTCTGAAATACTTGGATAAAAGATGGCATAAAAAGTGTTGCCACATGTCTTGATGCTTCTAGATGTGCACAATCCCTTACATCTTGCTTTGTTTTTTTGGGTGTTTCAAATCATCAAAAATATCATCACTGGATGAATTTAGTGTTGGGAAGTGTTTTTGAACATGACAGAGAACCACCAAAGATGCCCGAATCCTGATTAAGAACTCAAGCAGATCACTCAACATAAATAGATTGAAATATCTACATTTCTCCACATCTGAATCAAAGTGCTAGTGGTGGCTCTTCAGGTCTAGTTACTGATCACCTCTGTTGATCAGTGAATTAGCACAGCTGAGCTTGGCACTGTTACTCTGCCTTGACTTGGCTGTATATTCACAGATGCGAAATCCATACAATACTCCTTCCAATCTAGTACCCCCTAGTATTCCACAACCCAAAAAACATAAACCATGCCATCAAGCAGACTGAAAAGGAAGGTATCTGGAATCACTCAATACCGATCTGGGGTTAGCAAACAACACAACCAGTTTTCAGAGAACTTGGTTATGCAAGCACAGTCGTTTATAAAACACAGAAATAAAGGCCAGCATGAAGGCCCTTATGCTTTCCCACACTGATCTCCAGATCTAAGAGACACATTTTCCTTTTTATTCAGAGACAAGTAAGGTATTTTATAGCATCCATTTAAAAAAAAAAAAAAAAAAGCCTAGGGAGTGTCACCAAACTCACCAAAGAGCAGAACCACTGTCCTTAAGGGGGATAACGTAGTATGAAAGGGTTTTACCTAGAAGGACATAAAGTAGCCACCAACATACACACCTTCTCCAAAAGGTGAGAACACTGCAAATTATTAATCCTTCCCATTCTCTCCCTCCTCTATTCCAAACTGAGCACATGTGCTGCGTTATACCCACATAGTGGAGCACAGGCCGCTCATTCTGCTCTCGTACTGCACATAAAACAATGCAGTCCCGTGCCCATCTCGGGAAACTTCTAAATGTTCTCTCCCCACAAATAAATACCGCAAGCCACTGCTCCGCGGCAGCCAAAGGACAAACAATGATAGGAAACAGAAGTCTGTTGTGATTCAGGGGGAAGCAAAGCGAGCTGCCAGGGCAGGAAGCGCAGCCACAAGGGGAGCAGAGCACCCTGGTTCTTCACGGTGACCCATGCAAACGTTCATCAATTGCACCTGATACACTGTGGTTACAACCCCCTATTAACTGAGTACCTTGGCATGGTGGCGAGGGCTGTAAGACTTCTGGAAAACTCTCTGGATGTTGTGGTGGCAGCGACTACCCTGAGGAACGTGCCCGCTGTGGGGACCACCATAGGCCTTGCTGCTGCCATGCCTCCCTGGCAGGGAGCCCCAGGGACATTTCTGGGTGGGGGAGTGAGGCAGAGGGCCAGGAAAGCAGCGTTTGACATCGCTGGTAGCAACCCACAGCTTTACCCCGGCTCTCACAGCATTTCTTGGGGTAGGTTTTTTGGTTGTGGGTTTTTTGTTGTTTTTTTTTCTCCGCTACTGAAGAAGGGCCGCGGTCAGGGAGGAAAGCTCCCGAACATCCAGAACAAGCCCCGTGAAGGTGAATTAATAATAACTGGGGGGTGGGACCGGCAGGCGCCAGCTCTCCTCCGGCGCCGGTGAGGCCGGGCACAGCGAGCAGGTGCCGGCGGGCGGCGCGGGCAGGC